AATCCCAGGGAGGGATTACTTTAGTTACATTACTCCATCTGTAATAGAGTGACTATAGGACCAGTTTGATAGAACACTATTTCATATATAGTGTTATAGCTATAGCTATAGGTGTTTGGGGGTCCTTGACCTGGAAAACGTTGCCGGCCACTTTTCATTTCTAAAAAAATGTCCGGGGGGGAATTTCAAAATCGTCCTGTATTTTGGTCGACTACAGTGCAGCAAGTAGTCGAAACACACCGGGCACCGAGCCGTGACCTCTGGGGCTGGAACCCTAGAGAACGGGGGCAGGGAGCCAGCGGGGGACGGAGCGACCAAACCTGACTCGACACAGAACAATATAATCTCAGTTTTTCATTCTATGACCCTTCAAATTTTCCCAGGTAGGAGTCCATATGGAGCTAAATCAGTCTCAAAAAGATTCACAAAGCATACGCCAAGATTTATATGCATAAACTCATATCCACAAGCGTAGAACCAGATTCTGAAGTATACATCCCAATTCACAAATGTTCATCACACAAAGCTTACATGTGTACCTTAACATTTACAAATGAGTTAAAAGTTTCTCACATTCAAGCTGAACAATAACAGACTGCATGAATATGATGGGAGTTAACGACCATTAACCCCCCAGGTGACCTCCAAGGCCAATCCAGTAGGAGGGATCAGAGCCTCCTTTAGTTCCCCCTAATTCCATTCTATTCAGTAATTTCTATAGCTCCAATTCACATCATGTCATCTCAGGTCACTTTCCAGTTCACCAGATCATCCAGTCAGATTGATTTTCCTGGAGAAAACTCCACCAGCCGCCGCTGGTCTGCACCTGCAGCTCCACTTTCCATCCATCCAAAACATTCAACCTGAATATGTCTCCAGTTACAACCGGAAATGATGCCTAAAAATTTAGTTGGACGGTTTGTTGGACTAATAGTTCAATCAGATTAGACCGACCTTTTAGCAAACATCTGCAAAACTCAACGAGGAGAAGGAAATGAACCGACAGCATGCAGGTTTTAAAGGAGGTTACCTCCACATGATTGGGCAGCATGTTGACAAATTTAAATCCAGGGATCCTCTTGTCGCTGCAAACCACGCCTACATCTTCAGTGTGTTTGCAGTCTGAGACGCCGATCCCGTTGGACGGACACAGAGACAACGTCTTCTCTTTCCCCGTGCATCGAAGGTTGTCGAACCAGATGGGTCCTTATGGGATAAAACAGAGATCCAGGTATTATTATCATCAGGATGCATGCCAATAAATGACTAAACATGGAGCCATTTGTTTGGAGTCTTTACCTTCTCCTTTCCCATATTTTGAAGAAGGCACCCATGAGACGGCTTCCTGGTAGCCCAGTTCTTTGCACACCACCTGAGCGGCGTGGATGCTGAAGTCGTCATCGCAGACGGTACCCCACGTTCCGTTGTAGTAAACCTCAACTCGACCCTCGTTGTGCTTCCTCTTCTGTCCAGCTAGTCTCAGCTGGATCCTGGGGGTATCTGGAGCCAGGACTGGGGGGCTGTACTGTTCCACTTCAGCATGCGGGTACCCCAGCGGGTATCCAAGGTGCTCATACTGGGCGTGGGCCAGCTTCAACACCAGCAAGAAGATCCCAGTACAGTAGGACAGCTTTTGGTTGGCCGGCATTCTGATAAGCACTGTTAAAAAGATAAATACAGAGGATTTTAATAGACAGACGGACAGAAAGATAAAGATATTTATTATCAATATTTATCCATATTGGTTTTTAGCATCCTCTTTACTGATGACATCAGCTGAGCAATAAAACGGAAAAGATGTAAACAGTACAGATCAGGTCATTAGAAGCAGTTTATATTAGTGGAAGCTTAACATCAGAGCTAAACTAAAGGATTATTACTGTCCTTCCATCAAAGATGGAGTCTCAGACATGGAGCCAAACCTAAAGATGCGCCTTCAGACCCGAGGACTCCAGCTTAACGATACCATGGTATGATGTTAAATCCATGTTCTTATGTTCATTTTCTATAAATATTCAATGCAAAATCTTTAATCTGAGATTATATTCATACCTCTGTATGGGGGGAGAATTGTTCTTATAACTATTAAGCATTAACAATCTATACATCTGCTAAAATAAAATAAAAACTGTTCATCAGTTTCCTAATAAATATCAAATGAAGAAGAGTTGAATATAGAATCATTTATTCTGCTGTTTTTAATTGTAAATGATGCTGCTGATTCCCTTTAATTACTGGACCGCTGCTTCATCTGCATCAGTTCAAATCAGTGTACGTACTCTGTGCTGAAGAAAGCCGTCCCACAGCATGACTCAGCCACCACCATGTTTTAAGAAGTTTTTTTTTTAGAGCGATGGGAAGTAAAGACGATGGTCCTCCAGGCGTCCAAAACGGAGACAGTTTGACTGATGTTCTGTCAGACCAGCATACCCACAGTCAATATGCATGCTCAAAACGTCCGTTCCCAGTTTATCCCCTAAGGTTTGCTGGAAAAATAAACTTTAAACTACCTCAACGGGCGTGTATCCCTTTAGACGTACAAAAAAAACAATAAAAAGTCAGATCGCCATACGCTGCAAGAAACACCAAAAAGTAAGTAATTAAATGGTTTTTTTGTACATTGCTAAAAGGATACACGCCCATTTAGGTAGTTTAAAGTTTATTTTTTGTAAAAAAAAAAAAACTAACGGGATAAACAGGTATTGACTCTGGGTATGCTGGTCTGACTGGGTATGCCCATCTAACAGAACACCGGCTTCAGGCAACAGTTTCTTTTTAACTGAGCTTAAATTCATCGAGAGAGCATTTTGTAATTTGTTATGATTAGCAAATTGAAACCAACATCCAAAGGTCTTCAAAATAACTAACAGGCTAATGCTAAGTTCACAGCTAACGCGACTGAAGCAGCAGAAGTAGCCAGTTTACGTGCAAAGTCAATGGTTGA